GAGCCTTCTAGACTTCCTGGCCTGCCAGCGTGGCTGTCGGGGGGGAGGGACGCCCTAAAACAAGCATTAGCGTTTCGCTAAACGCCGAGCCGATGTGGTGGGCAGTGGCCAGTGGGCTGGTGGCTGCCTGCTTGCAGTTGCAGCGCCGAAGACTGGGGCCGGGGGCAAATGAGGTCCCTGTAGTCAACTGTCGTCTGTCGAGTTGTCCAGTCGCCACATGCTCTACTTTCTGTCATCGGCCAGCCCGTGCCAGCGTGCCCTATGGTTGCCATAACGGATGTGTTTTTGACTTTCTGTGAACATCTTATTGCAAAAATAATCTTGGAACTCTTACATTCTCACCTATTTTTTGAAGTCTAATTATTATTTTACTCTTATTTATTCAATTTTGTAATTCTGATGGTCTGTTCTAAACAAAGGCATAGTTTACCCATATATCGCATTTAGAGGAGTTAACGGTGTCAAAACAGCTAAAAAACTAGTTTTCCCATGTGAATTTACCCTATTAAATTCTGAGTGCTCTATTATTTTAACCTCTGTTTTAACATCAAATATTTTGACACCATTTTTTTAAAAAAAATACAGCAAAATTTCAAATCTAAGCAAAGTTTAGCAAGTTATACATGCTTAATTAGCCATCAACGAATGTCGGGAGGGTTAGGATAAGGTCAAAGGGTTAGTTTTATCTTTTTTTAATACATTTATACGACCTTTGGCCAACAAAGTCTAAAACGAGGGGCAAACGGTTTAGAGGTTATTAGGGGAAATGGTGGTTTCATATTAAAAAAAAGAGAGGATAAATAAAGTCACAAAAAAAACTAGGGCAAAATCATAATTAGTCTTCAAACACGAGGCAAAAACATCAATCTCCCGATAATCTTACTAGGGCAAAAACATCAATCTCCCGAAAATCTTATACTAGGATAAAGTCACAAAATTAAAAAAAACTACGGCAATTTTTTTGTGTAAATTATAAAATAAATAAATCATTACTAAAGTATCCCTAGTAATAAAATAAGTCATAACAAAATAGATGGTGTTTATACAAAAATTCTGAATAAGACGAATGGTTAAACAAAATGTCTTAAAGTAAAACGTCACTTATTTTAGGACTGAACCAGTATCTATGTATGAAAGAAAAACAAAACAAAACTTTCAGCTTTCAAAAGAAAAATAGTTGCTGCCAGTCTGCCACAGGAATCTGTGCAGTTTCTTCTTTAAAAAGAAGAAAAAGTAAAAGGGAAAAAAAGTCCTGCATCTTCTCCTACTGTATTTTTGAAAGTTCTTACTGTATTACTGTACCGCTGTACGTTTCTATGGATATACTAGACGGAACACCGCGCTTCGCCGCGGGTAGGCTGGACTGTAATTTAACATTTGCACTGAATAAGCCATACGTAACAGGGACTATTGTGAGTGGATGATATTTACATGAATATGACAGAAGCACATGATGATCCATAATCAAAATCAATTTTATGGCATTGTATCTATAAACATAGAGGGGAAAAAGTGAGAAAATAACTGATTATCCATCAAGGAATAATAAAAGGCACGGAGAAAATGGAAGAAAATATAAGGTTTAGGATACATGCAGAGTCTCTAATGCGAAAATCGTAAAGCAGGCTGACTTGGAAGATAAAAATCAAGTCTTTAGCAACATGGCACCATGTGGTAACAACGAACATTATGTACAATCTGCATCTGACGACAAAACCGAAGTCACTTGTTGTGCAACCTGAAAGAACAGAACCAGAGACCAATCAGACTTTGCCCCAAAGTAATGAAATGGCGAAAGGACTACATTGAATTTTAAGAACTGCTATTGACCTCATATCATTCATGATTGGAAGGGGATACATTACTTCAATTTCAGATTAATGTAATGCGACATATTATTCTCTCATCTACTTCTATTCTGTGTAGGCGATCAGCGAATGTAAATAAAACAACTGAACAAAAAATAAAATAAAAATGAGCACATTTACAATGGGTTTGGCAACAAAATCATGAGCTCGCAGAGGGCATATTCGGGAAAAATCAAGTAATAAAAAGGGAATAGATGTTTGCTGACACATTCTTTATGTGCAACCCAATGAAAATGTATTATATTTGGTTCAACATTTTGATTGTGTGGTTGTCGCTAGCCATTTTGTCAGAGCTAAACTCTGAAGAACTGATGCTGTATTCAATCAGAGAAAACATAAAGTAAATGCAGGACACGCAACGCCAACCTTGAGAAGAAAGAAACCTCCACATTATTAGGCTCAATATCGCGGTCTAATTCTAAGGCGTCACACCTAGGTTGCGCTAAGCATTCATAGCTGAGGCATAGCACGTAGCCCGTGGTAAGCATTCGTGGACTGCTGGCATAATCAGAGCACATATGGATATATGCCAAATAGAAGTAGCTGCGAGCAGGGAATGAGGTAGGTCATAAAATTCGGGAACACAAAACATCGAGAGACACTTTGGCACTGTAATATTTAACAATGATGAGCACAATTCCAGGAGACGCCCTGGAATAGAGTGCAAGGATACCGGGCAGACCCAGTGCCGGAGGCTCCCACATGAGTGGGGTCTGGGGAAGGATACCGACTTAAAGCAATTCTATGCCATTGGTAGGCTACTGCATGTCCAAAGAGGCAGGGAGTATTAAAGAGTTAATTATTACCAAGGTAGGGTGTCATGACAAAAAGAGGAGTATATATTTTAAATGCTATAAGCTGAAAAGCATATATGAATGTTACCAACTATAAGCTGAAAATCAAAAGACACTGGCTTATATTTTTACTGCTACTGGCACAAGCTAAGAAGGCATGCTAGATGATAGCAGTACGCATCCTTTTTTTTCAACACAAGACCATGAGGAGCACCAACAGAATTATGTAGGATACACTGACAAACCCCAACAGTAATAACATGAACTGAAAAACAGCTTCTACACCTGATAATTTACCCTGGCATGTTGCGACGTAGCTGGTTGATGACATTTTGCCGTAGCTCCAAATCGAACCCTCAATAAGGATACCTATGAAAAGAAAGGAAAAGCCTTAGCGCTCTGATAAATTTACTTTGTTTAAGAATGGATAAATTCACGTTACATGGTACCAGTGATCTTGCCAATAGCTAATCAAGAGGAGCAATGTAACTGAGATAGATGTGCATCTTTAACCTTAAAAGTAACATATCCACTGAAACATGTTTTGCCTGCATCAAAGTGGAAACCAATATTATGGAGCAGATGAACAAAACAATGGCGGAAAAGTTTTACTTTATACTACCACAGATCTTTTTTTTTTTTTTCCTTGTGGCAGCAGCTTGTACACATGAATCATATTCCTTTAATCGACCTCATTAGAAAATGGTAGAAACTAATTCAATGAAGTCAATTAACTAAATTGGACGAAGGATGAGGAAAGTTTTGAAGAATCTCGAATATGAGAACTGCAGACTATACCTGAATCATCCACAACTGCATCATTTAGACAGAGATAAGCTCGACAAACCCCTGCGAACCCAATATCTGATTACGTGGACTGGATGTAGCTCACGAGAAACCCCTGCAATCCCAATCTTAAGTGAACCATGGAGAGCCAGGAAAAACTTCCTGTACAAAGAAAAACGTATTTAAGTGCTGCAATGCTACACAGTAGTTGATTGGAACCAAATTAGAAACAAAAAAGCACGGAACTTTAAACCATTTAAACCGTTCCTGTGCGCGGCCCCATATGACGCCGACGGCGGCGGCGTGGATGGCGGGAGCCGCTTCATTGCCTTGTCCACCGACCCCGCGCAAGCCGCGCAGGTCATCCCGGACACGGAGAACACCGCCACCTTCTCATCCTCCCCATTCGGTCATGACCCGCACCGACCGTGGCCTCCAGGTGGCCGAGAGACGGAGATGAGGGTGGATCCATGGACATGGAACCGCCGATCTGATTCGGGTCGGAATCAACAGCGTAGGAACCTCCACCAGCTTCCTCTCCCAGGTCGACGACGGCAGCGATGGTGAAGACGGAGGGGGCGCGGCGGCACCCGACGTGGCGGCGTGGCTCCGTCCTGTCCGCGCGGCAGCAGGGACGGCGGCGAGCCGTCCTCTCCACTCGGCGCGGTAGCAGACGTGGCTCCCTCGCCGGCCACCGCGACAGGGGTGGACGGAGCGAGCGCGGCTGCATCGGCGGCGGCGGCTTTAGGAGGTGAGGCGTGAGGGGGCGACCGGATGGAGACGGGCGCGTGGGAGGACGAGGAGGCGAGCACGAGGTGTAGGGCAGGGCCTCGAGGATAAGGAGTACCCGAGGCTTCTAGACGCAGGACGCGTGGAGGGCCAGGATCATTCCATCGGACGGACGCGGCTGAGGAGACGGCTGTAGGACTGTTCATTTGAAGCCCTGTTGCTAAGGCGGAAGAGAAACCAGAGCATGTTCGTTTGGCTGTGGCTTGTCATAAACGATCATAAATTTTTAGTTAGAATAGTATTTTTCTCTCACACAAACCAGTCAGCAGTACTTCTTCACGAACCAGCAACGAAATGAGCCAGCCAACCGAACAGGCTGTAAACTTATTAATTATCATATCATATCATATGATACGATGCCGTTGAGCCGCTACTTGTATCCCAGTGGGCCTGTTCGCTAGCACAGTCTGCTTATCAGATAAAATTTATATATATTTTTTATAATAAAATAGCTTTAGTCGGTTTATCAACCGACTTTAATACCAGACGAATAGCCCCTTTGCCGATCACCAATTTGCAACTGTGCAAAAAATGCAGTGGAATCTCCAAGATCAAGAAGGAGGTGAGCTGAGCCAGCTTTGTAGTCGCGTCATGAGAGCACCGTCTTGAGCTTGTAGTTCTTGGCGAGCGCACTGTACACGACGAAGTTGAGCGTGCACATGGCGGCCATGGTCCAGAAGAAATAATCGAGGTGCCCCTGGTTGAGGTTGTCGGAGATCCACCCGGGACTGTTGGCCGTCGCCGTGAACGCCGCCACAATGGCCTAGATGAACGAGCTCATGTAGCTGCCCAGCGCGATGGTGAGCAGCGAGAGCGACGTGCACGTGCTCTTCATTGTGTCCGGCGCCTCAGCGTAGAAGAACTCCAGCTGCGCGATGTAGCAGAACACCTCCGCGCCGGCCATGAAGAAGTACTGCGGGAGCTGCCACGCGATGGTGATCTCCTCTAAACACGCTTTTTGTCTCTCTCTAAATGATCATAGCAGAAGTAGCATCTTGTGCTATAGAACACATTCTGTTTTCAGGAGAAAGAAAAACTGAACACGCTCGAGGCTGGAGCTATGCTCACCAAGAACAACCGCTGGTGCCTTGCTGCCGGCACGGTTTTTGTCCTTCAACAGTGGCACTTGCAGGCTGTCGTCCTGAGGAATCTTTGGGCCGTGGCTCTGCAGTGAAGAGAAAATTTCACAAGTTGTCAGCGGCAAGAGAATTTGCGTATTTCGACTCTCTGAATGTTGAATGGTCGTGAGTAAAGAGCCAAGAGCCGTGCCAAAATAGCCCTAAAATGGTTTCTAAACAAAACAAGCCCATAGTCTGTTGTTGGAACCTTCTGGCCCTGTTTGTGTGCCCTTAAACCCAGTTTGATCCGCTTATTTTTTTATCCGGAACAGTGTTTTTCTCTCATAAATTCCTCTAGCATTCCTCCAAACCATCCAGATTCCTCCAGAATTCAGACAAGCGAGCAGACCCACTGTCTGTATAAGCTCGTGTGTAAAGATTTTTCAAGTTTAATTAATGTATCTAACAAGTATCGATCGTTTTAATAATTAAGTTTATATTCCTTTTCTCGCATCTTTATTTAAGACTTGGTCTATATGATGATGGCGTGCAGCGTGCTGCTAGGCGGCCACCAACTCCTTCCTGTATCCTCATGCCAACTGCCCAGTTCGTCCCTGAGCAACGTTGCATCCGACGTCTGGATCACCGCAACGTCACGGCGTATATACTTGCTGTGAGCATACCAAAAAGAAAAAACAGAAAAGCTAAAGTATATCTCAGAAACGCTGTGTGTTTTTCCCCTGTGTTCGATAATGGAATTCGATCCTAACGCTAATCACTAACCAAGAAAAGCACCTCGCCGGCGGAAGGCGAATGCAGAGAGCGAGCTCCGGACCGTTACCTCTGGCAGGAGCGGCGCGCGGTCGCCCCTCTCCATGGCGTCCCCAGCGTCCATCGCCGACCGCACCGGGAGCTGTGGATGCGACTGCGACTGAGGCGCGAGGCGGTCCTCGAACGCGGGTTGGAGCGAGCGGCGGCAAAGAGACCTGCGCTTCTCCTCGCGTTGGCGCTTTGCTCCGTTCGGGCTCCGCTCCGGCCTCCGGCCGCTGCTGCTCTGGTGTCTGATGCGCTGGCGCAGAGCTGCGGGGCATTTACATATTTACTACTGGATGATGTCTTACACTGTGTCACTGATACATGAGTCACTGATATGATATTTTTTATACCACTCATATCGTAATGATGATAAATATGTAAATATTCCCAGAGCTGCCCGCAGCCGGCTGCTTTATATAGGAAGCGCGCGCCCTCCCTCGTTCTCGCCAATGCGTCCCGGCACGTGAGATAGGTTGGTGAGCCGATAAACGTTTTGTTGCCTCGTCGGTGAGCTCGGGGCCCCGGGTGGATTTGTTACGCGTCGCCGTCGCCGTCGCGGGGCGTAAATAATAAAATGATATAATAAAACGCGCGTGGGAACGCTTCAAATCCGCGCGGTTTTTCAACCGAACAAGGCAGATGCTGTGAGAGACGGAGGTGGGAGATGGAAGAACTGGAAGAAGAATCGGAGGAAGAGGAAGGAGAAGGAGGAACCAGATGCGGCGTCGGAAGAGTTCTTAGCTTTAGGAACAGGTTCGAGTTTTACAAAATGATGGACCCCTCCCTTCCGGGATACTCGTTCTCAGACGTTACAGAGGCTTAGCCTCAATACGCGCATGCAAGCGGTGAACGGATCAAATCCATTGGTCGCCATTACTTTCATGGTTGGGCTTCTGGCCTTCTTCCTCCGGGCGGCTTCCGGTGCTCCATCTTGGGCCGAGTTGCTACGGTGGTGACATCCCTCCTCCTTGGAACACCGCTTGCCCCCAAGCGGTGGCGCTGTGGATACTACTCTGGCGAACGACTTCAAAATCTTCCCAGTAGCCAAGTCTTGACGGCGAGTTGTTCCATTTGACAAGCACCGAGGTATAGAAGAAGACCCACGAACGACCATGCGCGTCTGCAGAACATGTTCGGGAGCCAAGTGTATGGCAAAGTCGATGGTAAGGTGGGGAGTACACGGTGATTGGCACCCACAACCTTCTTCGCTTGGGATACATGGAAAACCGGGTGAATCGCCGAATGAGCGAGCAAGTCAAGCTTATAAGCGGCCATCCGACCCGACCCGAGCCGAATCCGGAATGGTCCGAAGAAGCGGAAAGCAAGCTTCGATGAGAGCGAGGTGCTAGGGAAGTTTGGACATACTGGTACGCAACTTGAGGTATACAAGATCACCTTCGCAAAACTACGTTCGACCGGTGTTGATCGACCGCTTCTTCATCCGTTGCTTGGCCCGATTGAGGTGGTCTTTGAAGAAGCCGGTCCATCCACCGCCGGTCTGAAGCCCGATAAATAACGTCCGGATGTGAACCAGCGAAACATCCGAGCCGAAAACGCGAAAGATAACCATAGAGCGCCTCAAAGGGTGAGCGACCGATAGCTGAATGATAACAGGAATTATACCAAAATTCCACAGATGGCAACCACTGACTCCATTTGTTGGGGCAGGCATGGACAAAACACCGCAGATAAGTTTCCAAGCACTGGTTAAGCCGCTCTGTCTGACCATCGACCGGGGTGATAGGGTCTTTGCGGCAAAGGGAGACATCCGCAAGCTTGAACAGCTCTGACCAAAAGTGACTTGTAAAGATACGGTCACGGTCCGAAATGATAGAGGTGGGAAGGCCATGTAAGCGATAAACATGTTGGAAGAAGGACTTGGCAACTGTGACAGCAGTGAAAGGGTGACGGAGGGGAATGAAATGACCATACTTGGTGAGAAGATCGACTATGACTAGCACACAGTTGAAGGATTGAGATTGTGGAAGCCCCTCGATGAAATCCATCGATATCACTTGCCACGCCGAATCAGGAACCGGCAGTGGCTGCAAGAGGCCTGGGGATCTGGTTCTATCATACTTGGACTGTTGACAGATGGCACAAGACTGGATAAAATTCTTGACTGCAGTTTTCAGTCCTCTCCAGGCAAAACATTGCTTGATCCTCATATATGTGACTGGTATGCTCGAATGGCCCCCCCAGGAACTAGAGTGAAATTGGGCAATCAGGTGCTGTTGGAAGGTGAAAGCTCTAGTTTGGTTTTGGTGAATTGATGAAACCCTAAGTGCTAACCTAGTTTATCAAGATGATTATGAGATAGGTAGCACTACTCCAAGTGATGAAGCAATGACGAAGATCATGATAATGGTGATAGCATGGTGATGATCAAATGCTTGAACTTGGAAAAGAAGAAAGAGAAAAACAAAAGGCTCAAGGCAAAGGTATAAAATGTAGGAGCCATTTTGTTTTAGTGATCAAGACACTTAGTGAGTGTGATCACATTTAGGATAGATAGCCGTACTATTAAGAGGAGTGTAACTCGTATCGAAATGCGGTTATCAAAGTGCCACTAGATGCTCTAACTCATTGCATATGCATTTAGGATCTAGTGGAATGCTAACACCCTTGAAAATATTTGTGAAAATATGCTAACACATGTGCACAAGGTGTTTGCAGGGTTGAGATGGGTTTGGGTCCCTCTCTCCCTCCCGCCGAGCTTGCGAGGCGGGATTCGGCGCTTTTGGAAAAATGAAATGTCTATTTTCTATTGCGCCGGATGCAAAATTCTTGGTGGTTGGCACATTTGAGCAAGGGTGAGGAAGTTAGAGTTGAAATGGAGTTGGTCGAAATAATGCTGGCGTCGGTCCTGTGACCGGACGCTGAATCCGAATCAGCACCGGACGCCGACCGCTCACTGCGTCCGGTCATACTACTTCAATGCTTTCAGCGGGAAGGGTTGAGCACCGGACGCCGGTCTCAAGGTCCGGTCAAGGTGGTGAACGGACGCGCGTCGGTCGAAGAAACATGCCTCGGGAGCTTCTTTGAAACGCAACGGACGAGAGGCTTCAGCCGTCGTCCGGTCGATTCAAGGAGCAGCGTCCGGTCGAGGCCGATGACCGTTGAGTCTGGACACGTGGTTGACATCGAAGCGCCGGACGCCGAGAGCCGGCGTCCGGTCGATCTCGACCGGAGCGTCCCGGTCGAACGCAGCTTTTGCCCAAAGAAGGGTATAACGGCTCTATTTGATGGGGGCTCTATTTATAGCCCCATGGCCGGCTCAAGGAGAACTCTTGCACATTTTCATTGACATAGCAAGCTTGTGAGCCTAGCCAAAGGACTCCCACTCATCTACATCATTGATTAATCATCATAGTGAGATTGGGAGTGATCCAAGTGCATTGCTTGAGTGATTGCATCTAGAGGCACTTGGTGATTGTGTTTCACTGCGGTTTCGCTTGTTACTCTTGGTGGTTGCCGCCACCTAGACGGCTTGGAGCAGCAAGGATCGTTGAGTGGAGGAGGTGATTGTCTCCGACTCCGATCGTGGTGATTGTGAAGGGTTCTTGACCTTTCTCGGCGGAGCGCCAAAAAGGTACTCTAGTAAATTGCTTGTGGCTTGTGTGATCCTCATCTTGTGTTGGTTAAAGCGGCACCCTATTGAGGGTTTGGCGAGTGATGCCAATTAGCGCGTGAACCTCCAAGTGAGTGAATCGCCACAACGAGGACTAGCTTGCTTAAGCAAGCAAGTGAACCTCGGTAAAAATCATTGTGTTCATCATTTGATTCCGAGGTGATTGGTCATCATTGTTATTCATCTTCGTGATTGATTGGTTCATTCATCTACACGGCGGTATAACCCTCTTGATCACTCTCTTTACTTTACATAAACTAGTTGACAAGCTCTTTAGTGTAGCTAGTTGTGAGAGCTTGCATGCTTGGTTGGTGTGGCTCTTTAGTTAGCCTTTGAGAGCACACTAACATAGGGTAGTGTCATTGCTCTTGTGTGAATTGACACTATCTAAACTAGAATTGTGGTAGGTGGCTTGCATTTTTGAGTAGGCTAGCGCAACACTCGCTTCGCCTCATAATTGTCTAACCATTTGGTTAAGCGTTGTTGTAGAAATTTTATTAGGCTATTCACCCCCCTCTAGCCATTAGGACCTTTCAAGTGGTATCGGAGCCGAGGTCACCGTTAATTTGAGGCTTAACAACCTTCGGTGTAAAATGGCTCAAATCAACAACACCAAGAAGCCACCCCAATTTGATGGCTCAAATTATTCATATTGGAAGTCAAAGATGACTACACACATCAAGTCAATCAATAGAAAGGTGTGGAAGGTGGTAGAAACTAAAATTGAGATTGATGATCCTGGAGAATCCCACCGTCACCAAGAAGTACTTCTCCAAAACAATGATATTGCTCTAAGTGCCATTCATGATGCAATTGATGCAAGAACTTTTGAGCAAATCAAGAATATTGAGATGGCACATGAGGCTTGGAAGAAGTTGGAAGAATCTTTTGAGGGTACTCAAGCCGTGAAGGGTGCAAAAGCTTATATTCTCAAAGAGAAGTTTGCGAGCTTCAAAATGAAGGAAGATGAGAGTGTGTCTTGGGATGTTCCACCGGATGGAAGTGATTGTCAATGATCTCAAGGCACTTTCGGTGAGAACATAGAGGACAAAGACTTCTCAAATAAGTTCTTGAGATGTTTGCCCGCAAGATTCAAGATATTGGTCACCTTGCTAGTAAGGAGTGGTTTGAACACAATGACACCAAACCAAGTCTTGGGAGATATCATGACCGATGATGCCTATAGAGATGATGATGAGAAGGAAGAAAAGAAAGAAAAGAAAGATGAGAAGAAGGATGACAAGAAGAAGAGCGTGGCTTTCAAGGCCACATCATCGAAGGCAAAAGCCAAGCAAGAAACATCAAGTGAGGATGATGATTCATGGGATGATGATGATGATGAGAGAATGGCTCTTTTTGTCAAGAGGTTTGGCAAGTTCATGGTAAAGAAGGGCTATCGAGCTAGAAGAAAGAAGTATTCATCCAAGAGCAAGGAAGAGGCAAGGAGA